CAAACTAGGCAGTGCTAATCAGATATGAGTCCAGCTTCTGTTGTTGACTATTTCTCTCCTCAAATCTGTTCACAAACACATTTTACTCTTTATCTGGAATAAAAGATTGTGTGTGAGCAGGTGAGCCGCCAGTCAAACATTTCATCCACCACATATCCAACCACAGGCTTCATTAGTTCTTTGTTGCCTGCAGCTGTCCACAATTAAAATACAGTTTTGTTTGTTAAAATCAAAATGATATATATATATAATATTTCCAGCCACTGAATTTCAATCTTCCAGCTTCCTGCTTGAAGTGCACGATTACAAAAATGAAACCAAAGGATGTGACTTGATTTCAAATCAATAGGGGGTGACAACCAAAGAAGTTATTTTTGGGGGAGTAACTATAATATCATTACTGAAATTGTATTAGTAATTAGTTGCACTACTTGTTTAGTAATATTAGTATGATATGTTAAAGTTACTGCCTATTATGTGATTTATTAAAATAAGATTATAACACTTAAAGGGTTACTCCAAATTACAAAAAGACAACAAATCTTCCTACTTTCCTGCTGTTGAGAAAAACTAGAGATTGTTGAGCACCAAACACAAAGGAACAAGGAAACAGAAAATTGCTAATTTACATAATTATATATATTTAAAAAAAAAGATTTTCACAATTTGCAGAAAATGTCTTTCCTCTTTCCTCCCCATATCTTCCCCGACATCAGAGTCATCCGAAGATGACTGCTGGCGTTGAGGGAGATAACATGGATCCTGCAGGTGTCTGGAGGCGTCTCCTTTCTGCATTTGAATTCAGCAGAGGGAGCTGAGGGGAGGTCAGACGAGTCCACAGCAGATAGGAAGCAATTAGCTTGGAGTTCGGATATTGAGCTTTAAATGTGGTCTCACACACATACACACACACACACACAGACACACACACACACACACACTCGCCCTGTCCTTTGCATGCATCGAGGCTGTTTTAATTGACTACTTAATTTGTTATTCCTCCATTTCCCTGCCAATTTTCTTCACAGTTTGGTGAGATGTTAGTGAGTTTCTCTTTCTATATTTAGCTGCTATGTGAGCATCCAAAGTAAGATGTACTGAAGTATTCAAAGTGAAAGTCCTCATACTGGGGCTCCCCGGGTGGGTCCTTCGGGTCCGACCTGTGTCCCTCTGCTGCATGTCGTCACCTCTCTCTCTCTTCCCTTCAGCTATTCTATCTAATAAAGGCAAAAAACCCACTTAAAAATATATAACAAAGCCCAAAGTCCTGATATTAAAGAGGAGATTTTACTCTCCCTCTCATGCAACCAGGGTCATAGTTTTGGGACAATTAATGCTTTAAGTTCAGCTGAAGAAGGACAGAAGGAAGTAAAAATAGAAGAAAGGATGCAAGTAATGGAGGGCAGGAAGAAAGGGGGATAGAAAGAAGTAAAGAAAGCTAGAAATTAAGGTGGGATGTGCAAGGAAGCTACAAAATGCTTCACATATTGGATACAAACACACTGAAAAATACTGTTAAAACTGTTAAAACATATAGGCTAACCTATAAACGTGAGGTTTTAGCAATCGCTTCAAAGATCTCATGAATTCAGCATCAGGGGTTTAGTAGCCACAACTGAGAAAACACAGTTCCATCTGGATTTAAAATGTATAAATGGACAAACAGGAATAAGGAAATATAATATAAAACCAGAATATTGTCTATAAGTAACCGATAAATCAAGCTCAAGATAAATGCAAGTAGAAGGTCTCCTCGAGTTGAAAAACTCAAATAAACCACAAAACTGATCGCCTTAAACTTGTAAAATGTACTAACTCCAACAATTTAAGGATAAAAACATATTTGTAAAAGTAACTCATTTATTTTTAAGGTAAATTAGGTGAATTGTGCTTTAAACTAGTCAGTATATTACTGACTTAATTAAAATGTGGTCACAGAATGTATCTGTACACTTATATATGAATATATATTTATACTGAATAAAGTTAAAACTTAAATGCATCTTCTTTATTTTAACCTTTCTACTCTTCCACTAAATAAAATTATTTCATATATATGATGAACAATGAAAAACTATTTACAATTCATCGATTATCAAAAAAGTAGCCAATTAATTTTGGGGCTTTGGGGCTTAAACAACTGAGTTATTACTCCAACAGTTAATTTTTTATTTAGATTTAAGTTATGTTAGCTTACTTCTTTAATTAAGATGCAGTTGCAGTGTAGATACGATGCATTGTGGCAACCTGTCTTTAAGGAATCCTTTTTTTTTAAACTTCTAATTTGCAACACCTAATATGTTTTGAAAGAAACATATATATATTATATTCAGTATGTGCTCAGATTTCTGTCATTAACAATAATCTTGTGACCATCTGCTGTATCTGCCATGTCAAACTCTCAATATGTTCTTTTTCTTGTATTCCTTAAGATCTTCTGTTATCCGCCCGTCATGAAGGCAGGAGCGGATCCTAGAGAGAAATGTTTTGATTTAGCTAAATTAGGAAGTGACAAAATATAAAAGCTTCACTTTAACACACATTTGAATTTCAAAGACTTTCAGTTGCCCTCGTTGGTGTTTACCTGACGTCTAATCTAAACTGAATTTTAGTTGCATGACTGGAAGAAAAACTATTTTGCCTAATCATTTCAGCGTGCTGCGTGTACTTCAAAGTTCCATGACGTTAAGCAGCAAAGACAAATTGCCTTCTATTTACATATATTATGGATATTCAAATATTAAACTGAAATTTTGGTCAAACAAACTTTACACAACTGTCTGTTGTTGGTGGTAGTTTCTTCCTAGAGAGTTTAAGGATGACAGCTTTTTGGGAAACAGAACTTTTGTCTCTCATTTTAATGATTATGTGACAAATGATAAATAAATAAAACTCCACTCCGTCTGCAAGAGAGGCTTTTGGTAGCACTAATGTTGTACCATATGAAATACTAATTGTAAGTTGGCCAATTATATCCTGTTAAGTCTTGTTTTAAATTTCTAGTTTCTAATACAGACAGAGAAAAGTTCCTAAAAATATCAGGAAAACTCATCTCAGCTCACAAATCACACAGGAAATTATCTGCTCAGAATTGATCCAAATCAACTTGTTTACACAAACTTATTGCAGTTCTTGTTTTCACTAATTTGGTTAATTGTACAATTTATTAGTTGTTCACAAATATATCACTTAGTCTGTGGTTGTCAATTTACTCAATAATGCAAAAGTTTAATGCAATAAAACAAGAGTTATGTTTTGCTTGTTGGTATGAGTTTTATTTACTGTCCATTCTTTTTCTCTCTACTTTTTCCTCATCCATTTTGTTTCCATCCTCCACTCCCCCTCTCCTCCTACCTGCCTCTCTTTCATCGCCATCAGTGGGCTCCAGACGGACGAAGGCCTCCACCTGATGGAGATCCTGGCTCGCAGGGCTAAAATCCAGATGACCGACTTCGCCGAGCTCTCGTATGTATTTCTGCTTTTTATCTGTCAGTCACACGCCAGCAGGAAAACACAGGGTGCTCGCTTCTTCCTGCTGTGTTAATGCTGTTTGTTCTGGTAGAGTGGGCAGTCTGGACTCAAATTCACCATCTAACCTAAAGCTGGTATTTTTTTTCTCCCGGTTCAAACCAATAATTTGTCCAACTGTGTTGTGGAGTATCATAAAAAACACAAACCTGCACGCGTACCGTGTTCGCTACCGCTCTAAATAACCTATTGCTATAGAGATTGTTGATCGGTTCGCACCTGTTCTGGTTAAATAAGTCTGTTCAAACAGAGCCGGCACACTGGAAGTGACACATTTCACACCATTCGTTAATTTTCACAAGCTTAAACCCAGCAGTTTCATACCAAGGGTTTGAGCATTTTCAAGTTTTGCAGCTGCTGATTTAAATAAACAGCATCTTCACACAATCGCCTACAAAATAATCTATGCTGCCGACCTCTCGCCCTTTTCAGATACTGACATTGGCAGTGAATCATAAACTGAAAAACAGCCCTTCTAGAAACAAGCCAAATATTCTAAAATATAATGAAATCTGCCAATGAGGTAAGCCAATTTAGCTTGGCAAGAAATCTTAAAATGAGCATAGATAATTAGCAAAAATAAAATCCTACAGTAAGACATTATTTTTATTTTTATTATAATTATTATTTATTAAAATAATTCATTTCCAACACTGGGACATGACAACTTTTTCTTAAATTGAGAAGTTGTGCGAGTGGACTCACTTAAAATAAGGACAATAATCTTGTTCCTGTGCTGGAGCTCAATATTAGCTGTAATATCTTGTTAAGATAAAGATTTATTTTCTTAAAACGAGATTACTTTACAAAAAATAAGACCAGAATCAGAAATACTTAATTGATCCCCGGGGGAAAATGTGTTTGTTACAGTTGTTCAAGGTGCTCACACTATGTTAAAGTATATAAATAATACTTATATTACAATCTAACACAATATACAGTATATTTATATAGAATAACAATGTATGTATATATATAGGTAAGACATAAATAAATATAAAAATAGAAATATAATAAAAGCCTATGTATCTTTTTATAGTAATAAAATATATTTAATATTTGCTAATATATACTATTTCATAGAAAAAATACTTTTTTACTTTCTTCTCCTTTTTTTTTCAGATGGAGTTTATTAGTCTGATATTCCTGTTTAACTCATATTATGTTCACATGACCAGCAAAATAATGGGGATTACTTACTTCATGTTATAATCCAGCAGCGATAAAATACAGTAAAATTAGATACACAACTTTTTATTGGTGTGATGATGTTGATTGAACTTATGTAGAACTTTTCTTAAAAAGTACTAAAAGGATTTGGTAAGATTCCCATGAAACACGAACATGAAAACACCAGAATGAATCCTTGTTGGGGGTTTCACTGAAGTTACAGGGTGCTGTAGAATATAAGCACCAAATATTAACAATTACCTGTCCAGCACCAAACAGCAGACAGACAAAGTTAGCGACTAGCTGGTGAAGAAAATAGAAGCTCTAGAAGCTGAGGATATGATATTTTCTCAGGAGTTGGTAGAGATAAAAAAACAGATATTAGGAGAATTGATATTGGATTGAATTTAAGCAGTTGGACACAAATCCAACTCAAAATTATTGCTAATGTTGATGAATAAATGCTAATGTTGCTACTGGATCTGCATCTGCTTGCTACAACTTTATAAGGTGATAATATATTATGGCAGTATGTCTGTTAATGTTGCCTTAAATCAGATTAGACATTAAATTAAATCAAATTAAAAGTTCTCAGCAAAGAGTACAGACATATGTAGTTGTCTCGCAATCCTTGTGTCCTTCTGTTGTCCGCTTTTATTTCCAAGCCCGTTCAGGCTTGAACATGCTTCTCTGAGCTGCACATAGACAAACGTGCACTCATATAAGTTTGATCAATAAGTCAACTTGCTTGATGCAAAGATCTAAACAACACATTGTTAAGATTTAAATGGCGTGTGCTTCTGCTCCTCTGTGTACCTCTGCAACCTGTTGTTACCCAGAACACTTTAATCTGCAAAGGTTTACACGACTAACCGTGAAGTTTAAACGGCAAAATAAACTATTAAAGTTGTGCAGATAAACTTTTGGGTCCCTATAATTGAGGTGAGTCCTCACAACGTGAGTGGGCTGCCAGGTGTAGGTCAACACAATGTATAGTAAACCAGCACATACATGTACAAAGTTACAGCTCCAGCAGTTTAGTGATCAGGAAGCTATAAATAAAAGCATTTTAATGCTTATTATGTCCTTCTTAAATGCTCCTTACCCTGTAATGTAACCACGCCTCTGGACATGTAACCCTGCCAGCTGTCAGACGGCCAAGCAGTTGAATCAAATTAAGAATTACATCTGGAAGATAATTCAAATTCATCACTGTAATATTTCAGAATCACAATAGATTCCGTACTCAGACTAGAGATACTGAAGGGGCGAAGGTCTGCAGATGACTCATGTGTGCTTTACGTTCCCAACATCAACCACCTTGTACCTGTAGGCTTAAGTGGGCGGCAGTTTTCTCAAAGGGCGAGCATCACATACTGAATCTCTTCAGATATTCACCGAGCAGCGTCGGCTCCTCCGCTGTCACCCCCCTACCCAAGATCAGAGAGGGCAAACTGGTGGGATCAAAACAGAGAGATTTTCCAGTGGCACGAGGCGTTGAAAGGAAGAAAACGTTGCCTTTACAGAATAGAAATCCAAGGACACTGCCTGATTTTTATTCTGTCAACATTTTTTCCTGCTCAGGGGGAGAAAAAAAGCAATGAGAGCTGCTCGTCCCCCGTTATTGACATGTTGGAGTCGAGCTGCCGCTAACTGCAATCATTTATTAATGAGACTGAACTCTCCCTGAACCCTCTTTCTCTCTCTCTCTTTCTATGTGTCTTTCTCTGTCTCTCACTCATTTGCTGTCATTATCTATTTCTCTGTTTCTTCTTCTTCCTCTCTTCTTTCCAATCTGATTCTTTCTCAGTTTGTCTCAATCTATTTCTGTCTCCTCTCTTTATTTTTGTCTGTCACTGTCAATCTCTCTGTCTCTCTGTCTCTCTCTCTTTTTCTCTCTCTTTTTCAGAGTTGCTATATTTCTCCCCACAGGTGACTTTGCAGTAGGTTTGTGAACATTTTCTATGCGTTGAGCTGCAACAGCAAAACAGGAGTTACTGCAGAAGTTTGCAGTTGAACCAGTTGGGATTATAGTCAGTATACAGACAGTGCATTCTGTCTTGCATGTGTACATACAAGCATGTGTTTCTATACAGGCCTCTATGATCACAGTTTAAAAGCTTTATGCAGCGAGAAACAGAACATGTTTAATCCAAACATGAAAATAAACTTGCAAGAAATATATAACATGAATTTGGTTTTTTGACCATCACTTCCATCACCTGTCAGTTATAATAACATTATACCTCTAAGTTAATTGCTTAAGTCTAATATGACATGGAGCAGAATTTAAGTTTTTTTGCACATAAGTAGTGTTTTTCCACCAGATTAGCTTTGGTTGTTGAACGGGCTCCATCTAAGATTCATGAAACCTTGGTGCTATCTGGCAAACCAGCCCCCGTTTGCACCCGTTTTGAGTGGACCCATTGTAATCGGATGTATCAACAGGTGTTGCACAATTCACAACAACCTTAAGCACATGACACGCCCACCTTCCAGGTTCTTTGGAAACCAACCAATTTATTTTTGGTCGAAATGCTCCAAACAAGTTTAAAACTAGGTGTCCAAATCAGAGCGTCCCTGTTGGTGGAAAAAAAATTTTTTTTTATTGTGCAACATTTGATACTTTCACCTCTTCAGACCTGTAACACACTTTAAATGAAACAACCTGAGATTATAAAGAAAACAACAGTCTTTAACTGTGCACATTAAGGTTATAACCTCTCATGTCAGGACATACAGCTTTGTTTTAAGGGGTCACAAGCCAAAAAGGTCAGACAGGCTGTTAACAAGCATCTAAAGCCAACTTTATTTGGAATTAAAACAGAAACCTGAAATGTCTGTCTCAACAGTAAATATGATGAAATTGAACCAGGTTGAACCAGTAATGGTTTTCTCCTCCAAATGAGTTTGACTAACTTTGAACGTTAGACAATCTCTTGCATCACTTTGAGAGATGTTGCTGTGTTCTTGGCTGATAGTCATAATGGCCAAAACTTAAAACAAGACCGAAGTTGTAAACTGGAATTAACCTTTGAATTCTGACATTGGAGGCTTAAAGTAAAGTTGACCACTTTCCTACATACCTCACACACACACGATCAAGCACCACCCTGACCTACAAAGCTAGTTTTTACAGCACTTCCAAATTGCCAGGAAGCCAATCAAAGCCATGAAATAGAACATCACAACTTGTCGCTTTGTCTTCCCCCTCCAGCTGTTTTGGTTCACTCTAAAACGAGCCAAAGGACAGGTTGTTGTTGTTCTTTTTAATCTTCAACTTTCCAATTACTTTCCTCCATGGGTGACACTGTGCTGGTTGGTTTGCACCTTTTCTCTCAAATGTCTTTAGCCATGTGTATTTCAAAGACTATAATAGATACTCCGGCAAGGTGACAACGCACAGCGGACAGGTGTTAGAAAGGTGTGTCATGCAATCTGTGTGTGTGTGTGTGTGTGTGTGAGTGAGAGGGATTATTTCTTTCTTTCTCACCTGATACATCAAATCATTTGAAAAGACATTTCTTCCTATGTTAGTAGACTAATAACCAGAATTGCCAGGTCCCAACAAGTTATATGTGTTCAGTCATTCCTCTCCTTTGGAAAACCCACTGCTACTGTGGTGCAATCATTCAACTGAACAATTATATTTATTGACTTGTACACAAAGAATGATAAATGTAAAAGTCTTTGTTGACCCCATTGTGAAGTCATCATATTTTAAGGGGATAAAGTAGTCCCTGATGGTGTCTAGACACTGGTGGTGG